CTGGATCATAAAGTAAATTCAGTCATTTATTCCAATGCCTATTTTCCCCTCCCTGGCTTTCCTTACCCTCACTTCTACCCATTACTGTCTCTTCCTCTCGCTCTTTATGCTATTCACTGCCTTTCTCTGTCCCCCTTACCATTTTTTACCCATTAATATCTCCCCTTAGCCCTATTGTTCTCTTTTACCCATTAATATCTCCCCTTAGCCCTATTGTTCTCTTTTACCCATTAATATCTCTCCTTAGCCCCATTGTTCTCTTTTACCCATTAATATCTCCACTGTTATCCCATTCTTCTCCCTCTTTACCCCATTCTCTCCCCTCCTCTTGCTTTTACCCATTAATATATCCACCATTATCCCTCCTCCTCCTCCTCTCTCTTCAGTGAGTTAGCAATGGTTATATGTGTTTAGAGGCGGTTGGATGTGATGGCTTGGGCACAATGGTGTATCATCTATTGACTCATGATTACAAAAAAAAAAGGAATGTTATTTTTCGTTTGGTTAGGTTAGGTTTGGTTTGGTTTGGTTTGGTTTGGTTAGGTTTGGTTAGGTTAAGTTTGGTTTGGTTAGGTTTGGTTAGGTTAAGTTAAGTTAAGTTAAGTTTGGTTAGGTTTGGTTTGGTAGACTAACCTAACCTCACTTAACCAAACCAAACTTAACCAATCCATGCCTAACCTAACCTAACCTAACCTAACCTATACAATACGTTAAATACATAGCGGCCAAGTGGACACAACGCTCATCTCCTATCCTTAAGTTCATTGGTTCGATCCTGGGGCACTCTCACTCCACCCAGCTGGAAAAAACCACAACACCTAACTTTACTGATGAGGGAATGAAAGGCCGTCGAGTGCAGTGTCGGCCATTCTCCCTCCCTTATATACCATCCCCTCCACCCCTTCCACCCCTTATATACCATCCCTTCCAACCCTTCCATCCCTTATATATCACCCCTTCCACCCCCTCCACCCCTTCCACCCCTTCCATTCCCTAATCCTTACCTCCAATCATTACTATGTGTGTGGTCAACTGTGTCCCGGCCCACCAATCATTTAGCTCAATCCTCGCTAGAATACTAATCAGTGGTGGGGGGTGGGAGGGTGGGGTAGTGGTGGTGAATTGGTAGTGGTGGTGAAGTGGTGGTGGTGAAGTGGTGGTGGTGGTGGTGGTGAAGTGGTAGTGGTGGTGGTGGTGGTGGTGGGCTCTCAAACACTCAACCGTTATTTCTCGTTGCACCTAACTCACTCACTCACTCACTCACTGAGAGAGAGAGTGTGGTTTTTAATATGACATTGTGATTAAGTGATTGTGAATGATCGGGTAACTTTGAGTGACTAAGAGTGACTGAGTGACCATAAATGACTGTGACTAATAGTGACAGCGTGATTTTGAGTGACTATAAATGACTGAGTATGACTTAAGAGTGACTCAGGGTAATTTTGAGTGACCGAGAGTGACTAAAAGTGACCGAGAGTGACTGAGAACACCTAAGAGTGACAGGGTATTTACGACCAGACCCACATTATATGATCTCGTTAAAGTGAATTAATGTTAACTCGGATAAACTTAACGAGTGGATTTATTTTTAAACTGACTTAATGACTGACGGAGGAAGCAATAATAATAATAATAATAATAATAATAATAATAATAATAATAATAATAATAAGGAAATTGAAGAAAATGTAAAAAAAAAGAAAAAAAAAGAAAACATTGCATTAATTTGTTTCACTGGATGACTCTCTCTCTCTCTCTCTCTCTCTCTCTCTCTCTCTCTCTCTCTCTCTCTCTCATACAACGCCGACCTGGTAGAGGCAATGTTCTCTTGTGAAACATTAATGGAGGCAGTATCAGGGTCACCTATCTGGCCTCTGACGTCAGGGGTTAAGGGGTTATATCAGGGATTGAAGGGGTCATATCCGGGTCATACGAGTGAAAGGGGTCATCAGGGGCCACACAGGTTATGGGGCCATATCAGAGGCTACTACGGGTTAAGGGGTCACGTCAGGGTCACACGAATTAAGGGGTTGGTGAGCTGTGTGTGTGAGAGAAAAAAAATGCAGGTGTGTGAGGGGGTAATTCAGGTGTGTGAGGGGGGAATTCAGGTGTGTGGAGGAGAAAATTCAGGTGTGAGGGAGAAATTCAAGTGTGTGTGGGGGACAATTCAGGTGTGTGAGGGAAAATCAGGTGTGTGAGGGGAATTCAGGTGTGTGGGGGAAAATTCAGGTGCGAGGGAGAAAATTCAGGTGTGTGAGGGGGGAATTCAGGTGTGTGAAGGAGAAAATTCAGGTGTGTGAGGGTGAAAATTTAGGCGTGTGAGGGAGGAAATTCAAGTGTGTGAGGGGGACAATTCAGGTGTGTGAGGGAGAAAATTCAGATGTATGAGGGGAAAAATTCAGGTGTGTGAGGGGGAGGGATCTCTTTCACTCCCCTAGATCCATAATGAATCTGAGTGTCTGTCTGTCTCACATTTCTCTCTCTCTCTCTCTCTCTCTCTCTCTATCACACTGGCTTGTTTATTTTTGCTTTACGAGATAATTGAATAGTAGATGTAGTCGTGAGTGCTAACTACCTGGGGGCACTGGCAGGTGTATAAGCGTATATGTATTAAAAACACACATGATATACTGATCTTTGGGTCTTCATGGCACTGAATATTGCTGGGGAAATGTTGGCACCGTGGCACTAAACATTGCTGGGGAAATGTTGGCACCGTGGCACTAAACATTGCTGGGGAAATGTTGGCACCGTGGCACTAAACATTGCCAGCACTAAATGGAAATGGCACCGTGGCACTAAACATTGCTGAAATGTTGGCACCGTGGCACTAAACATTGCTGGGAAAATGTTGGCACCGTGGCACAAACATCGTAGGGAGAGGAAAATGTTGGCACCGTGGCACTAAACATTGCTGGGGAAATGTTGGCACCGTGGCACTAAACATTGCTGTGGAAATGTTGGCACCGTGGCACTAAACATTGCTGGAGAAATGTTGGCACCGTGTTGTGTTTAGTGTCAGGAGGCAATTAGTTACACTGTTTAAATATCATATGAACTCCGCCCTTTCATGACCGTTTCTGCCTTGTTGCCCGAGTGATGTGAATTATGAGGGTGGGGGGGTGAGGGAGGGGGGAGGGGGGAGGGGGGTAGTAGTATGAGTTGTTGTTGTGGCCCTTCCTACCCCTCTCTCTCCCTTCTTCATTCCTTCCTTCCTTCCTCTTATCATTTATCCAGTCCTTCCATCCCTCCCTCCTTCCCCATCCATCATCCATACAGAGTCTTCCTACCTTCCTTCCCCCTCCCTCCCTCCACAGTCATTTCCCTCCCCATTATACAGTCCTCCTCCTTCATTCCTCCTCCCCTCCCCCTCCCTCCCCGGTTAGTTAGTTATTGTTGCATGTTTAGCGAGAAAGAAAAATAGTAGAGGAGTGTTATATTAATATTAATTTAACCCACAAAAATAAACCCACCGTCATATATTTACTCTGGGGAATAAAGTAGTCGTGATATGTGTACTCTGGGGAAGAAAGTGGCTGTGATATGTGTACTCTGGGGAATAAAGTGGTCGTGATATGTGTACTCTGGGGAATAAAGTGGCTGTGATATGTGTACTCTGGGGAATAAAGTGGTCGTGATATGTGTACTCTGGGGAATAAAGTGGCCGTGATATACTGTATGTACACTTGGAATAAAGTGGTCGTGATTATGTGTACTCTTAGATAATTAAGATAATGTAAAACCACACACACACACACACACACACGGGAAAATTCAAGCTATCAAACGGGGTAAAATTCACAGTCTGTCAAATGGAGGAAAATAGTTCGTGTAATTTTTCGCCGCTGTGTAGTCAGGATTACTGTAAAAAAAATCAGATCCTACTCCCTCCCCCCTTCCCCCTCCCTCACCCCCCCCTTCCCCCTCCCTCACCCCGTCCTCTCACCCCTCCCCTCTTCCCCTCCCTTACCCCACGTCTCTCATCTCTCACCCCCTCCCCCGATGCCCAGGCCCCTCTCCCCTCCTCAGACACCTAACTTCAGTACTTACCCCTTCCCCTCCAGCACCTCCCCCACCCCTCCCGACCCCCTTCCCGAAAAAAAATCTACGCGTGATGTTTGATATTGGATTAAATTTTATCAAGCGAGGCGGTAGTTACGATTATTTATTTATTTTATTTATTTATCTATCAATCTATCTATTTATCTCCACTATACAGTAAAAAGATGTATTCTATTTATCATTCATCCACCGAAGCTCCAGATTTTGTTGTATTTTATGAAGTATAGAATGAAATAATCTTTTATATAAACAGGAAATAGGTCACTCGCTAGGGTTACATTTCACCGAGTCATTAATTTAATATTTAAAAGGATTATGTTTCAGTATTTTTTAATTTAATTCTCAAAGTTTCAAATTTTTCTACTTGTTTAAGGTAGAATATATGTTTTATTTTAGCCATGAACGAAATTTACGCGTTTTTCTGATGTGTTTTGGCAATTTGGGAAGGTTCCAGTTGAGATGTTTTTTATTTACAACGGTGATCAAGTGCTCATTATTGGGTGTGTTCAGTTTGTATATATATGTAAGATTCCCTCACACGGGTATATCACTTCCAGTCAGGTCAGGAGAGGTAAGTGGTGATTGATTTAATGTTTATGTGGAAATTCAGATTAGCGGACAGTGCACAGGGATTTTTTGGATCACCTGAGGATTTAGGCAACCCAGTTTATTTCACCTGATGATTAAACACCCTAACCTAACCTAACCTATTTAACATAATCTAATCTAGCTTAATGTAACTTAAATTAATCGAATTAAAACCAACATAAGTTAATCTAATCCAACTCAACTTAGCCTAACCTAATTCCCCCCCCACCCCCTCCCCCTCCCCCTCCACCAGGTAGCGCTAAAAGGTGTGTACTGTATTCATTAGGTGAAATAATAAGTCCGGGGTGTCTAATGTTCACGTGATGCGAATTTTTGTTTGCGAATTTTTC